TCGCTGGGATTTTCCTTAATTTGTTTTGTAGGCGTTGTATCAGACACACGCGACCTCCTTAAACACGAATTAGTGTGCTTTTTACCAAAGAACATTCAACTGGTAACTGGTCAAAATGTATGTAAATTATTTAGAATTATATACGTGTGTGGCTTGAGTAATCAAATATAAATTATTAAAAATTGATTTGTTGTATTCTCTTTTCATTATATTTACCGTAACAACAAAAAATTTACCAAAAAGGGGAGTGTATTTATCGGAGACCTGGAGACTGCTTGAAGCACTTTGGAGTATTGTCATGACTTTCAACAGTACAAGCAAATAAGCATACATATAAAACAAACACTATCTCGAGCGTACATTCAACCAGGGGCCCTGAGATCTCGCTCTCTTCGAGTATCTCTCTCGTCTCTCTTTTTTTCAGTGGGAGCTACTTGGTTACAAAAACCAGTTGAATTTTAAATGTAACTCTCAGCAGCGCTGCGGGCGGCTACAACCAAAACAAGTTTCAAATTTTTAGTTTTGTTATTTTCTAGACTTGCTCTGGCTGTGCAGGGAGTCCGTCACACTTATTGTATTATTACCCTGCGTGGGGAGATTGAAAAAGATTGAAAAATACTCGTGTCAAAATGCACAGTTTTGGATAATTCAAAAGCGACACCAAGCTGACTGTGTGTTTAGCTGTGAAGCTAAAATAATTATCAAGAAACCTTTTTATACAGTTTTTTCCTTTTAATATAGATAAATATTTTATGCTTTTCTAAAGATTTTGCTGTTCAAATCCGAGTGTGTCGTACTTATTTACTATATATGCAAATAATGTTAATTGAATGTGATTTTTTGTATTCTGCTTTTGCAGAAACCATAATATTAAGAGTAATTCATATATTTATAGTGATTATATGTATTTAAATAGAGTTGAATGCATAATGCATCTCATTTAACACACACACAGCTAATAACATATGTACATCCATTTACTGTGAAATGTATTGTATTTATTTTCCAACTAACCAATAACTAACTGCAAAACAAATATTAATATCATGTGTGCCATGGGCTATACAATTAGTATCAATTTTCAGATATATTTATCGAGGATAAAAACAGCAGCAAAAATTTTCTGTTCTGTTTGTTTGTGGAAGCGTTTATTAAGCCGACGTATTGTGATGGAAATTAATTGCCGAGCTGTGGAATTTAGGGACCAGTAACCGCTGAAAAGTGCGAGCACTCGGAAGCTCATACAAAATGAACTGCTTGTCCACTGCTTGGGAGAGAGCGAGAGCGTAAAAGAAAGAGAGAGATAACGCGTTGGGGCTAACAGAGCTGTGCTACTTGTTGAGTCATATGTGTGTGTGGTGTGTCTCTTTGGGGGCCCCATGGAAGATCGGGCTGTTCAGTCTTTTCCGCCTCGCGCCTATGATCGTACGGGTCGGGTCGCTCTTTTTGTAACGCAGCAGCAGCGTTCTACAAACTATTTATATATATGTATATATGCACATAACTATCCCTACTATATGTTCGACAAGCAAACAAAACTAATAAATAGTATATCGCTGTGTCTATCGAGTGCTCAGTGTGTGTGTCTTTGTGCTATTTTCGTGTTGTAATACAAACAGAAAGAAAAGAAAATAAAAGAAAGGAACCACTAGAAGAAGTTTCAGCAGCATGACCTATGCGTAGCATGCCACAAATGAAACCGAAAGCAAGGCGCAGAAAAAAGGAAATTTCTTATAATGGTGTGTGTGTGTTTGTGTGTGTTCATTATCAGACCATCTGTGTAATCAGTTGATTGTCACTCCTACCCTACCGCCCCCCAGCCATTGGCCAATGCTCTTTGTTTTTCTCAACAATTATATGTATTGTTTTTTTTTCTTCTATATTTCCGCTCTAATAAACTTTGCTTGGACACCGCGAGAGCCCCCAAAAACCCTATAGTCAAGCGTAATTCAGAGCGCCCTTTGTCCGAGGCCGCATACCCGCACAAAACAGTGCGTTTCACAAATATATCACATATCCGAAAGTCGAAGTTGAATTAAAAAATAAAACATTTAATCAAACTATCGAATACGCTTATTTATCGAATCAAATGCAGACATCGAATCATTTGAAATATTGAACGCTAGTTTCTTCTCGAATTTAATCAATTTTCAATCTTATCAGCTATTGATTTCTAATCAAAGTATGTAATTTAGTTATTGAATTATAAGTATCATCATATCAAAGTTTAGGAATAAAAGTGCCCAAGAATCTAGAACTTTTAGAATTAATAAAGTTGTTTTTCTGCATTGTGTATTTTTCCAATGATGATCATTGATGTTTACTGTGTGCATATTTTGGGAAACGAACTGTGCTTCAATTTTAAGCTGAAATTCTCTCTTTCCGGCTCGATTCAGTTCGCTTATTGTCGCGTTTGACTTTTGGGTTGACTTTATCTTATCGCCCGTCCGTCCGTACGTCCATTCGTCTGTTGGCGACCGAAGTAGAGTCTCGTTGTCGTTGCTGTTGTTTTTGTGGATTTGTTGTTGACAGCAGAAAGCAAAAACTAATACAAGTGACTTAAATGGACAAAACATCCATGTATGTATGTTCGCGTATATGCATAACCTAAACAACCTTATATACTCGTTTTGGGTGTGCTTAATTTATTATTTGTTCTTCACAAAAAAAAAAGCAAAAATTGAAAAATATGTTTGCCAAATATGGGAGAAACATGGTCAATAAAGACATGTTTGTTTGTACCAGTAATAATCGTACTCTAGGGGTATATCTGTTATTTGACACAGGAGTGGGCAGATTTAATAAAAGAGCAATACTTTGAGGTGGAGAGATCCTTACATGATGTACATGGTGTAAGAGAACACTCCACGTTCACTCGTGGTTGACAGTTGTCCGTTGAAACAGCTGATTTTGTGTTGTTTCAAGCAGCACAATATTCCTCCAAATGCTCCCTATTAAATCTACTGATTGAATTATTTTCTATAATATTTCCGATCTATATTCCTCTATAACCCAACGCAACTGTAATATCTTTAAGAAAGTTCCCTGTAAAATTATTATATATCATGCAATTATTACATAAAACCGTAGAGTGGAGGACGAGCACTGCATACGCCTCACTCGGGTGATTCATCGTCATTTCGAATTTAAGATTTAAAAAAAAATATGTACTATGGTTTAAAATTTAAACTTTTAAACTTTTAAACATGTAGTTAAAAAGTCTATCGCTTGTGGCGAATGGTCTATGTTCATCTTATCCCAAACGAATATATCCATTCGGATGTGTCGGCGATTTGCACATTTCGAATCAATGTCCTTCGACGAATGTACAATGAATAAAATGAGGGGATTAAAACGCTCATATTACTATTGAAGCTATGACAGAAACTGTTCTTAGTAAGAATTATATTGGAAGAAATTAAGACTAAGAATTTTCTTCAATCCCTTAGAGACTTGAGATTTTAGTTAAGTCATCACCTAAAATTATAAACGAACGTTTTAGTGGCGAATTTAATTTACTTACTGAAGTCGTAAAATCATTTCTACGAGATGCTGTGATGTGTGTGCAGTAAGTCGGCAAAAGTTCCCTAGCCGACGCTTTGCTCGGTAGAATATTTCTCGAAACATTTAACAACAGAATGTTTACTACAACGAGCCATAAACATATACAATATATGTGTACGAATGCGGCTTTGCTTCCAAAAGTCACGTAAGAGAGCAACCACACACTTCCACCCCACCTTACTTGCGACTCTTTCTCGGAAAATATGGTTATCGCTAACTTAAAAACTTAACCTATTAAAAACCAATAAACTAATTGAGAAACACACTTAAACAATTGTTTAGCCATTCATTCGACTTTTAGCGGATTGCAATTGAGTGTGGAGGCAACACATCGAAAAGTATTCACGAGTATTCAACGATTTAACATCTCGTGCACTTTAATTGCTTGAATGTAGAACGACAGCTCAATGCTCAATGGATTTGCCTGATGTCTGAATGTCTCTCTCAGTCGCAATGTTGAATGCTTTTGTGTTCTATTTCTGATATTTCTAATATTGTGGGTGTCAGGCTGCTGGCAGGCATTATTATCGATGCCTCAGTCTCCACTATGGATGTTTGTGTGTTTTTTGTTGTTGTATTTTTTGTTGTTGTATTTTTTGATTGATGGATGGATTGGTGGGGACGGGCCTGAGAATCGTTTCTGGCATAATAATGCCCACACCCTTCCCCTTAGGACTGCCAAGTGCTGCCAATTTCATTTTCATTCTGTCGGCACACAAAACCCTAGAGTGGAGGACGGATGACTGCTCAAATCTCACTAGGGTTATTCAACAATTTATATGGGGTTAAAGTTATCGGTGGAACAACAGCAGAAACCGCTAACAGCGAAACGGTAGTCGTACATCAATGTTCCTCGTCATGTACACGCAATATATGTTGTTTTCGCTATTCTCGGGCATTCTCTGTTGCAACATTCGCTTGTACATCTCGTGTGGAGCATTAGTGTGAAGGAGTGACGTAATTTAACCAAAACCAATCGGCATATTTGATTGATTTTTAAATACAAAAATTACAAATATATGAATGCATTTTAATTTCCACATAAAATTATGTTCTGGAATGAGTAGATTGCTTTAAATTGCCTTGTTGAAATGTTAGATTATAATTTGATTCATATATTATTCCATTGATTGTTCAGTTTTTATTTCGTTCAGTGAGTACCCCTAATGGCTCTGCTGATTGTTTGTTTTTTGGGCTTGCCCCAAGTATGGCCATGGTCGTTACGAATGGGTAAACATTTGCATTTGCTTTTAAAACGAACCCAGACACCAGCATAGCCACTGGGAATGTTTATTCAAAAACAAAACACTTCGTGAAAACCGTTCCACCTTTAAACTGTAGAACTTGTTTGTTGGTTTATCTTTCTATCGGTTAACCCTTAACAAGTCATCTAACCATCTCAATAATTTTCTGTTTTTTGTTGTTCTTTTTTGCAGTTAATGTAATTTAGGATGCTACCAAGTTTGGATACCTTAATGCGTTGCTCGAAGCGAGTTCTGCAATCGCCCCTGGAGGCGACGGCAACGGCCAATCTCCAGATGCGGAATGGTCACAGCAAAGCCCCGGCCGGTAGCATCTACGGACCCTTCACGCCCGACAATGATCTCAGCTGCTCCGGACGGGGGGACTGCGTGAACCATACCTGTGTCTGCGACATCCGATATGCCGGCGACGAGTGCAACTTCTTCAATCTGCCATACTATGCCGGAATCTCCACCGTCTTCTATGTGGTGGCCCTCGTCTCTGTCATCCAGCTGCTCATCTGCATTGTGGCCGAGTACCAGCGGCTCAAGCAGCCCTCGATCCTCAGGGCCTGTCGCATCACCACACAGAAGCTGCTCTACTTTATGGTCTTTGTGGCGGCCTCCTTGCGTGGAGCCTACTTTACCACTCCGGTGAGTGCGAGTCTGCCTTGAATCGCCATTAAATATCTATGAGTAATATTCTATATTTTAGTTGGATCTACAGCCTCAATGGGCCGTAACCCTGATGTCCGCCTATTATCCATTGCTCATGACCTGCGCCTCCCTGATCGTCTGCATGTGGGCCGAGGTGAGTGCACTACTACTCCAGAACTCTCTTGAAGAGTTTTTAAAATGTGATTTTTGGTTTGTTAAAACATTAGCAAGACAAGAATAGCTGACGACACTATAGAATATGAGAGATTTTCTATTAAACGTAAGGATGCATTCACAAGACTGAACATATTATTGAATAAAATTTCGCAAGACAAGAAATAGATAATTATTCATATAATAGATAATTGAACGGAACTTTTGACAGTCGATAATGGATTTCATACGCCTCAATTTCAAGTATCCATTGAGCATTGAGTGGAATATCACAAGACTGAAACTCAATTGATGGCAATTAACGAATATTATAAAGATAACCCTTCTGGCACACACGTGAGGGTAAAGTCACAAGAACGCCATTATTGGCTATTGAGATTAATATATTGCAGATTACTGAAATAAATTATTTGTATGGATTATATCTGTATAAAAGTGGAAAGCATAGGGATAGATAAATGGAGTGGGGAATCTATCAGATATCTGTTTGCAATGGCCAAGATCCTACTGTTCAGTCAAACTACATTACCATATGGCATCTGTAGGCATTTCCCGGCCAACAACTGTTCTCATTGCTCTCATTAATGCTCGACACGAGATGCACAAGCGAATGCGACAAAATAAAATGCCCAAGAATGGCCAAAACTCCCCTAAGTTCCGTCTACCATCCCCCGACCCACAAAATCCTTTAGTACGTGCGTTCTAATTTATCGCATTTGAATATACATAGATAACACGTACAATACGTACAATCGTAGATAATGCCTGTACCTGTGGCTGTGCCTGTGACTGCGGCTGCGGCTGGCTATGAATACACTCAATAAATTTCTTTGATAAGGCAAAAGCTGGGCTATATTTCCAGTCACGAGTCCATCTCTAGGTTTAGGAAAAATAATCATCCAGCACCCAGTCCCCAAAATGGCGATCGTATGCGTACTATAATTTAATCGCACCTAGACCATGGGAATCGGAAGAGCAGCTCCCTCTTAAGTATGGTGGGAACTGTATACGATTGTAGCTCCCACTAAGGTGAAAATTGTGTGCAGTGTTGTTTTGTTGTTTAGTATCGACTAAAGTACGGATGTACTTTGGCAGTCGTTGGTGCACGTGTACCTAGAATTAAATTGTTTTTGCTACACTTCTGCGCAGCGTATCTTGGGGGACGGAGACCGATATTGATAGGCCAAACAGCCAACGGACAGGCAGAGTACACAGTTTCTATTATATATACATATGTACGAGTAGTATCGCGAGAATTAATTAAACTTTGAATCGGCAATAGGTGTACGGCACACTCTAATTGGCATTATTCATTCATTCCGTTGATTCGGACTGTTTCAGATCTTTCACCTGCGCGACATTCGCTGGGAGAAGTCGCAGTTCCTGTCGAAGAGTTTCCTCGGCTTTGTGGCCTTCAACTTCTTCCTGTACAGCCTGTTTGGCATCGAGGTCTTCAGCTCTCTGATCAATGCGGAGCGGCGGGACTACGCGCACATATTCAATGGCTGCTATGCGGTATTGCTGCTGATCGTGGTCGTCTTCTTTCTCATCTACGGCGTGGAGGTGTTCTTCAAGCTGCGCGGCGGCTTTGTCTACGACCAAACGGGCAAGATCCTGGGGCCCAGCGAGGCGATCGTGAATGCCTCACAGCTCCACCAGTCACGCTTCGGCCTCCTCAGTCAGGCCGTAATGCTCATCGTTATTGTTGGCTTTCTCACCTCCGAAACTCTGGGCGATTTCTGGAAGACCAAGTAAGTGGATAGGCAACCGAAAAATATTGCTAATGGATACTAAAAGCCAAGTTCTTCCTGTGTAGGGTTCCTGTCAACTCTCGAAACTGGCATGACATCATTTTCCGAATTGCTGAGATTGGCGTTGCTCTGTGGTTCCCCTGCTGCCTGTGGAACTCGATGGCGCCCGAACAGCTCTGGATACTGAATCCCCGCAAGCTGCTATCCCGCCAGATTGATCCGTCGATACCCACGCTGAATGCCGACACCAATAAGCTCTCGCCCGAGGAGGGTCAGTCGTTCCTGGCGAAAAAGGACTGCTGGATATGCTACGACAACGACAAGCCCGAGCCCCTAATCCAGCCCTGCCGCTGCACCGGCGACGTTAGCTCCGTCCATCATGAGTGCCTCAAGCGCTGGCTGGTCGAGAGCTGCAGCAAAACGGAGGCCCAGCTGTCCTGCAAGGTGTGCGGCCATCCGTACGAGATTGAAAAGTCCAAAAAGTGAGTATATGCCACATCTGAGTCAAATGCTTATTAATCCAATTTAATCCTCTATGCTTCGACAGACTCGAGTGGGAGAAGGGCTTCACCATCCAGCACTGGTCCAAGACGGTGATACTGATCACCCTGATGTGCGTGACGGGGGCCGCCGCCTGGGTTGTTATCCAAATGTACGTGGATCCCCTGGTGCGGGTCATGACCGTCGGCGTGGCCGTCCTCATTGGCTATGTGTGTGTCAAGTGTTTGGGCGAGAACACCGTGGTGGCCTATCAGCGTGCCAAAGTCAGCTCGATCAACATTGTGACCAGCTCGGAGATGGAGAAGCTTCACACCATATGCGAGGATGTTAGCGCTGCCAGTACATCGACAGCAGCAGCACGGACTGGCGCTGCCTCTTAATGGTAGAGTTGGTGAGAAGCAGTCGAGAGAAAGACAGAAAGAGAGAGAGTCTATGCCATACGGAACCACATCAGCCACACATCAGCAGCGCAGATCAGCAGAACGTACAGACATTATTACTTACTTATTGTATCTAGTTTAGACTGCGTTTTGCACACATTTTGCTCAATGCTCAATCCACAACACACAAACCCTTCCCTCAATCCTGTACATAGGTTTACAAAAAGAAAAGTAAGAAAGAAAATCCGCATCGTAGTGAGTAGTGCGTAGTGGCGAAACGGTAGAGAAAGCCGCCAGTTTCGATTATCGAGTCAATTGTGTCTCTCAAATTATCATGCAGATTTCCAAAAGTGGAATGTATTACAAAAAGCCAAATATTATTAGTCTCTAAGCATATAAGCCAGTATCACTTACACGAAACAAACACGAAAAACGAAACAGATAGAAACGTCTTGAGATTATGAACGCGTTGCCAAGTAGCCTGAAGAGCGAGCCGAGCCGAGTCGAGCAGAGCAGAGCAGAGAGTAAATAGATAGAGATAGAGCTTCGATGCGTCAGTAATCAGACCGATTGTGGGTCTGATCTGTAGTTTATAGCTTACTTTTATTAACAATTAATTTATGAAAGCATTTTGCATTTCATTTATTTCATGAGCCTCTCCACGTGTCCTTTGCATCAACATACAACTTGGCGAATATTAATTTAAGCGTATAAGTTTTTACTTTGTATTCAGTTGGTATAAGCGGCATATTAATTCCTAAGCTATATCCCATAAAGATCATAATTTATCAACCACACATACACACGCACCCACACCTTAAGCAAAGTATATATATCAATTATACATTTTATTGTATCCGGAACATACAATTTGTCAAAGCAAAGTAAAACGAAAAACCCACAATGATTTACATACAATTTAAGCTACCATACATACAATTTTTTGTGATAAAAACAAACCAGTTAATAATAATTATAAAATTTATAAAATTTCAATTCTTTTTGATCAAACATGGGGATTGGATTGGTCCTGCTGACTCGTGGAAATTCATGGAGAGCTTATTTAATTTCGCATGGATACATGTACATATGGATATGTACATACATACATATGTATATGTATGGATTTCGTATCATTAAAATACTTTTATAGATTGACGTATACTATTTGGGGATCTTTGATGGCAGACTAAGTGAAACTTTACTTCACTGCTTTTAAGTTTCTAAATTGTTTAATTTGATCATTAAATAAAAATTGTGATCTTGTCTTCTGTATTCCAAGCTGGAATTTGAATACCTTTTTAAAACATTCAAAATATTGAGGCAAGAATAGAGTACAAACTTGTTATATTTCTCCAAACAGTTGTACAGAACTGAAAGAGTTATTTAGAAGAACAGAACCCAAAGACAAAAAAATACAAAAGTCAGGTCGAAATAATACTCTGCTTTTCAGTGGATATTTTCAACTAAAAAAAACTTTTTCCAGCAATTTATCAAATTCTTTTGCACATTTTGGTCATGTTGTGACAGAAATGCAGTAGTACCTATGCGTATGGAACGCATTTTTAAAGTATACATTAGGCTGGCCCAAAAAATATTTTTTTTCGAAATTCAAACGGGACACTATTACTATTAAATGCAAGGTAACAAAACTAGGGGCTCACCCCGGGGGGTTTGTTACCTTGCATTTAATAGTAATTTACATGTTTTTATTTTTTTTTATTTTTTAAGAGGTTGCTACCGAACTAAAAAAAATTTTTTGTTGAATGAGTTGGATAACACTAGCCAACACTAGAATTAGGCTGTGGCCCAAAATAACTTTTTCTTATAGATTTCGGGGTTTAAACTTTTTTAACGAATTATTATTTTTTTTTTTGGTGTAGTTTTTGGCTAGTCTTGGCTTGCATTTTTAGTTTTAGATACTCGCATTAATTAGGCGTCGTTTAAGGTATTGTTCATTAAAATCTATGGATAAACGGTGGAGCTAAAATTCGTTAAACAAACCTTAAAAATGAAAAAATAGACAAAAAATACTTTTTGGAAGGTTGCGGACCCAACTGCCAATTGGAAACAAAGCAAACGAAAAGGGGTTGAATTTTTGGTACCTGAACGTGTTCCTTTGGCATTGGACCAGCAACGGTATTTTTCAGGTGACTTTTCTTAAAGTCAAAATACCGCAAAAAATTATGAAATTCGAATTTGAAAGCTTGAAAGCTATCTTCCAGGCGTTAAGCTGCAGATACAATAGCAACGATTTATAGCTGCATTTGTCAGCTTTTCGGAACTGCAAAAATCTATGCAACCAGATATAAGATACTTAAGTTATGTGAAACATACTGGCACTACCTCTGAAAAAAACCATGAAAAAAATACCAGATTTTAAAAATTCTTTAAAAAAAATGGCGCCGGCCCCCCCCCCCCCCCGCGGCCCCCGGGGGGCGGCCCCGCCCCCCCCGCCCCCGGACGCGGACAGAGACGACGACGAGCTGGCCTCTGGCCCCCCCCCTTACCACCAATCTAATTACCCCTAACTTTGAGTACGGGATAAAAAAATTGTTAAATCCCGAAATCTATCAGAAAAAGTCATTTTGGTTCACAGCCTAAATAAAAAGTTCAATTTTGTCGAGTAGTGTAATTGGTGAAATCTATTCCATATATATTGATACCATTCATATCGTCATTAATCAGTTATTGGCAGTAAAAAAACTGCACAAGTTTTGCGAACTAGTTAACTAAATATATCAACCTCAGCTGAACTTCTTGATTTTCACCAATCGCAAATTTTTTAACAGTAACTAAAAAAAAAAAATAAATACCTTATTATTAATCATATGAACTAGTTTCTAAGTTTCAATATTATTTTAAAAAACCGACGAATTCCATTTTTTTTAATGTATATTTACCCACAAATTTTTATTTTCTTTCCGTGGTAGAAACCCCCAAACATCAAACTAAAAATTTGAAAAAAATTGTATAATTTTATTGAACAGAATTGGGGGGTGTCCCCTTGAAAAAAAATTTGGTCAAATTTTGGCCCAGCCTAGTATACATATATATGTATATAAAATACAGAAAAATAAATCTCCTATTTTTGGAAAATACTTTGATTTTATTGAGTTGATATCAGAATAATTACATTAAAATTTATGTTTACTTTAAGCCAGTGGTCGGTACGCACACATTTACGTTTTTGCAGTGCGTTTATGTGCGTATACAGCACGCAACACGGAACATTCTATTGGGGCCAACCATTGTAATGCAATTGTACGTGTATCAGAACTTTTTTCTGGGGAATAAATTCCAATATATTTCAAAGAATATAGAATATATTTATAGAGCATGTCTATAATTGGGTGAACTAGCAATTATTTACTGGTGCATCTGGATCAATTGGATTCAAAAATCTATCCACCGAAACGCATTTAAAAGAGACACCATTCAAAAAGATTGAAAAATTACTCGTATGTTGTTCAGAAGTATGCAGAAGTTTAGTTTCGCTTTCTTAGGCGCGTTTCCACTGTCACCGCCCCATTACAAAACCGAGACCAAATCCCAGACAAAAATGCATTTCATTGAGTTTTTAAGCCTAACGTTATTTATTTTACATGTAATTTCTATAAAATAAATGTATTTATATAGCTTATAAATATGCATAATAAAAGCCAAGTCAAGCTTTGACTAACTTTAGTTTTTTTTGTTTGTTTTGTTTTCAACTACTTTTAGCAACGACATCGAAGCAGAAATAGGTTTATTTTTAGATTGTATATATATTTAGGTATGTATGTATATTCATAGTGTAAATCAAGATCAACAACGTAAGAGGCATGCCCCGCCCCTGCACCCCAAAAGGGGGGTTATACGACGAGACATGCTAAATTTCATATACATAACAAAAAAAAGTGCAAATAATTCAGATCGATACATACACACACACAATTTAATATCGTGTTAGCGCTAATATTTAATAATAATGGCCCGTTCGTGTGTTCAGTGTTTATAAATATTCCAATTTTGTTGCATTTGTTGATTTTCCAGAAACATATCCTAAATTTAGACTTAGTTTTAGCTTTGGCTATGCTATGCCCTGTTCAAGCTAAAATTAGAAAAAATTCAACTAGCGGGTCGGGTCGTTGGCTATGGGATTTTGAGAGGATTCGTTCTGTTTTGTTTTGTTTTGAGAGTGTTTCACTGTTGGGATTTTGTGGGGTGATTGATTTTTTTTGATTGATTTTCCAGCTTTAAGTGACGACGGCCGATCGCTTGTCCCGATTCTTGCCACGCGAAATGGAGCGGGCCTTGAACGCGGCAGCATTCACCAGATGCTATGGGATGCAAATGAAAAAAATTCGTTAGAGCGATTCTTGATGCCTGATCAATCAACTTACGCGCTCCAGTTTGGTCGGCTTGATCTTGGCATTGCCATTAATGCCAGTGTTGGTGGGACGCGCTCCCAGCTCGAATATGTCGCGTATGAACTCGTTCTCCTGCAGCTGGGAGGTCATGCCGGGACCCATCACTGTGCACAGGGCCGAATACTGATGGTGAATGGACCATGCATCCAGTGTCAAAGACTCTGTGCCAAAGCGAATGTTGATTTCCGGAGAAATGTCCTCCTGAAATAATACACAGAATATTTGGGTTCAAATAAAGTAGGCATGGAATTGAAATTAAAATCTATATTCGATATTTTGTACTGGAAAATGCTCATTTGGCTCAGTTAAAGTTTTAGTTTCGTGAGAACCGACCAAATTCTATGCTCAGATAAATTTTAGTAGTACAAAATCGTATAAAAAAAAGTGTACAAAATTCTAAAATCAATAAAATAAAATAAATTTGGTTATCTATTTATTTTTTGCAGCTTTTGCAACATTTTGAATTTTTTTGCATTAAAATGCTGGTGACCACCTATCAACATGACTACGTTCCGCCCAATGCCAAGCGGTACGAGTTCCTCACCCGCGCCAAGGGATTGGAGGGACAAGAGGGCGCTAAGGTAATCGAATGTCAGTGCATCGATGAGGAGAAGATCAAGGCGCCATCCGATGCCTCAAAAGACTGCTCGGGGGTGGAGTGGACGGGCATTGCGCCAATGGGTAAACTGGTGGATCCACGGCTCATACCCACGACCCTGGCCCAGGATCAAGTGGACAAGATGGCCTTCTCTGAGGAAACGGACTGCTTTAAGCTGCAGCCAAACCGCTTCCTCAAGATCCTGCGCACTGTCTACCCCGATCTGTACGAGCGACTGAAGGTGATGCCTAAGGAGGAGCTCAGCCGCCGGCTGGAGAAGAACCGCATGTTCACCACGTACCAGATCGACTTCTGTGCGATGAACGAGTACCCCGAGGGCATATACGAGAGTCTCAAGACCGAGGACGAGGCCTCCAAGTTGAATGCCAACAAGTTCCTGACCAACAAGGCGCCCTGTTCAGAGTTCCGCTCGAATGTGATGAACGAACTGGACAGGGAAACCTCCACGGGCTACGAGATGTCACAGGATGAGTGCGAGAAGACATACAAGCCCTTTAAGACCACATTCGCGGACTCCTCGCGCTTCGTCGCCTCGGGCAACAACTCACACTGGAACGCGGCACCGGCTACCTACAGGAAGGTGCCCGACTTCACCGAATACATGGACTCGATAAGCCGCAACGGCTGTGTGATCATGCGGAACAAGTTGCACGACCACTCCAAGTGCCTGGCCAACTACTGCAAGCACGAGCTCAAGTTCACCTGCAACGACATGAAGCCGTGAATTGCAAGGATTACCCGTGCAATCAGCACCACTCGAATGTCCTGTTCTCGTGTTCTCTGGAGTTTGCATTTTTGGTTCAAGTAAATGAGTAAATCGAACTTTTCGTTTCTTAGTGGGTTCTCTGGTTCTGGTTGGGTTTTTTTTTCGTTAGCCACTCACCTCTAGATAACGCAACACATCCCGGAAGGTGGCACGCTGAGCCTTGCGATCGCGCTTAGCCCGATACTTGTGCGAATCGGTGGCCAGCTGCTTGACAGCCTCGCTCAGTTCGGCAATCTCCTCCTCAAGGAAGTCGTCATCGTGGGCACGGCCCGATTCCAGTATCAAGGCAATGGTTTCGCCAGCGGCCATGCGGACATCCAAATGTGGGGACTGCAAAAGCCCCAAGAACTTCTTGATCGATCTAAAAATGAGCGAGCGGCAGTTTAGAAAACATTTCTCTGGTTGTTATACACGTTAGGGTTCAAGGACTTACGGGAACATGTTATTTCCGGTGGTCATCAGTGACACGAAATCACCCGGTGGTATGAGAGTCAGAAGCAGGCCCCAAGCACTCAAAGCCTCGGCATGCAGGGCTCCCGCTTCGGCGGTGACCGACACTGGGGTCTTGTCGTCGCCCCGGAGATAGCTGCCGGCAAAGATGGCCTCGATATACTGCATGAGACGGACCAGTTCGGCGACATCCTCGCAGCCCAAAAAGCTAAGCAATCCAAGGGCCGAGACGCACTTGGCTCTGGCATCGAAGCCGATGGACTTGTCCTGAACGGTGGTCAACAGAAACTGGTCCATGGCCTTGGAGATGCCCTTGTCACCGCCCATCTGGAGTACCAGCAAGGGGGCAAGACGTGCGCCCCAGACCTGCTCCTGTCCCTTGCCGCGACGGATGCTCTTCTCCACAAAGTCCATCAACGTCATTTTGCGGTCCTCCACGAAATCGGGCATATAGCGGTGCATCAGAAGCTCACAGATGGCCTGGAGGGCCTGCACACGGGTCTGGGCCGACTTCTCGGTGGCCTGCTCCAGGGCCTTCTCGAACTTCTCCTCGAAACGCTCATTGGCCAGGTCATCGTTGGCCTCCGAGGAGGCAACCTCCGACACGTGCGAATAGACGCTCACATTATCAAAGGACTCGTCTTCGGAATTCGAGTCATTGGTCCGGCCTGTTGGACAGAGGGAATGGTGTGGGGAGAAGAATTTAATATTTGTTTTAAGTTCATGAACACTGTATCCCCATCCCCACCAGGGTATCTCGTTAATATCCCCTATGTATAACAAATTTATATAACTGGACGTAAGTGAAGTGAGATTGAAACTGTAGTCCATTGGTTGTCAAACTTTAGCGATCGCTTCAATTACAAAATGGATGCTAATCTCAAACAAAGTACACTGAAAGAAAACACTAAAACTGATTTGGCTCATTCATTTTAAACAACATATAAACAAAACTGTACACTGTCAACGGCTCACATTTCTGCTTGTAAAATTGTTTTGAGAAATGAGTTAATCAAATGAGTTGGCCAAGCTTTTCCGCCTTTTTCGCGTTTTTATTTTCTGTTAGGTTGTGATCACACATATCCATATATGTGTACATGATATTGTATATATACATACATGTGTACATGATATTGTACATATGTATGTATGTACAAACCTCTGTACACAAAGAGAAATATAAATTGAATTACATTTGATGCCGCACAGCAGCAATGACCTTCAAGAAAAAAAAAAAATTTTTAAAGGAAATGTGCAACAAGTTTTGTTTCATTTTCTTTTTAAAGAAAACCCACAACTTTCCCACTGACTGTGCTGCTGCTATTTGGGACAAGGCAATTTCCGTCTCCGTCTAGCATTTTCCACCTTTCACAAAACTATTTGCAGGCAACAACAAATGCGGTAACAAAATGAAGAAGGAGAAGAGAGAAAAACCAGCTGTTGGGGCAAAAAGTGGGGCTGTGTATGCTTTTGAAAGTTGCTTTTCTTTGGGATTGAGAGAGAGAGGAAGAGTAAACCAATCTGTGTTTAAACATACATACATATGTACATATGTATGTACAATTGTACGTATTGATGTACAAATGCCTGCATAACAGTTGCATAATTTGTGGGTCACAACAATTTCTATAGGTGCTGCATCAATAAGAGAAAAAGGTCTTCCGCGTGCTTATTTATAGAGGGAATGGGGACACCATGTCACTAGTCGACCTATTTTGAATTGGGTTAATTGATATTCAGGGATCCATCATGTCAGACGGACTCCTTCTTGCTGGGTCTCATCTTATCGATGAGTCTCATTCGCTCAATTTAACCCAAAGAACCCCAATCCGCCTGAGCAACCGTACCAACTAATGCGCATTTATTGAGGACAAGTTCCGATTCTCTATCGCATGCTCTCCGGGATTGATATACCCCCCTTGATACTCACTGATTGGAAGCACTTGCATATGTATTCACTCGTACACATGAATAAATACGGGTGTCTGTATAAAGTCAGTTCTGATAAGCTGGCATTGAACGTATGTGTTTGTATTCCGTTTTCATTGCTGTATTGTTGCGTAGCCAGCTGAGCTGCGAGCGCGTGAAAAGCTTTTGGTGCCAGCACAGCAACAAAACAAAAATAATTATTTCAGCGATTGCCAAACAGGTTGTGGGTAGCAAGCAAAAGCTTTCCACACAATTTTGGAAATCAGCTAAACATGTACATTCTTCATACATATTTGAAGAGTATTTTAGTCGTCGCATGACTAATGCAAAGGTCAGGCCAAAGCAGCTGTAAAAATTTCGCCTGCATTGACTCTCACGCCCACACCCACTCGAACACTCACACTGCAACACACTCTCTCTTTCTTTGTCGTCCGCTTTTGTGACTCACCTTTGCCTTGTCCTCCTCCTGATTTCTTGTTGCGTCGCGGCATACTGTTGATGTTTTTGATTTTGCGTTTCTCACGAATTTTATTTGAAAACGACGACGTTTTCGTTGGTATTGTCGGCCTGCCTGCTCAGTTGCACACAAACACAAACGGGAAAAAATGCCCTGTAGCCGAGTGTGTCCTCCGACTCTGACCGCAGAGAAGTCTACACGACACCACACAAAATGTCTACACTCGCTTTGGCGGCAACGGAACGCAACGCACGTGTTCCTTCCGATTTATTGATTTTGTCTCAAGAATTTAGGTTATAATTAAATTTAGTTGGCTTTTAGTCTAGAGATCAAAAGATGTTTTGATCAGGACGCAGCTATGCAAAAGCTTTGATGCTTCCAATTTTTAGAAATCCTACACAATTGTCTTTGGCGGTGTTGTTGCACGCGGCGTTTGGATTGCAGTTGTGGAATGAAGGTCGACACTGGACGCGATCGTATTTTATTGATACAGGTGTGCGGCTGTTTGGGCTCTTCTGGCTGGGCGATACTACAAAAATGTTGTGCTCTGGATGGCGTTGCAGCAAATTTCATGTTTAATTGCAATGAATTGAATTCTGCGCTGGCAGCCACTGCCCTGTTCTTTGTGCTATGGTGAAATTCCTCTGCGTTCGCTTTGGGGTTTTTTTAGTGGTATTATTTCAGTTTATTTTTTTATCTCGCCAGCGTTTTTATGGCACTGGACTTGACGGTTGTAGCTTTCGAAAGCTCTGCGTATTGAAAATAATGCAAAAATGTTAAGCACTTTGATTACGATTTTGACGAAATTAGTGTGAAATTAAGCAGTGTGACCGCGGTTTGATTAATCAAATATACCGTCTGACCCTCAGAAATATACCTTTAATATACCAAAAAAAAATACCACTATACCATAATTCAAGAGTCCCCTCTATTGAAGCAAGTGAACGTGAACTTGCCTTAAACCGCGTAAAATAATAAAGTTTGCTAATGTTTTTATGTTTTATGTTCAATTATTTTTAGTTCTTTTTCGAAATGAGTCTGTAATGACCAGGTACTTCAGTTGTTATTGTTGTTGCAAGTAAAAAATAACCGGATCTTATATTTGTTAAAATTTAGAATATTGTGTATTGCTTAAAAGAAGTTTATATTTTATTATCTTGCTTGTTTCTTGAATTTATCAAAAATGAGGCACTATCGATGTTTTTGTCTACAAACAATCGAAAGAGCAACAGCTGGGAATCGATCGCCTTTTAATTCAATAACAAGTATATTTCATTGAATTAAGCATTTACCTACGAAATAATACCTGAAATAACGGTCTTAACTAAGCCCCCGATCTACGGAACTATTTGGTTTTAATAGGTTACAGCATAATAACCAAACTCAACGTGCAAGCTGGTTCGGGTACAACACACTCAAGGTCTCTATTGGTATTGATAAACACTCCCAACAATTTGCGAAAACTAAACGCAAACCAAAGATTCTATATATGTTACATATAAGTGTTATAGAATTTTTGCCCAAACCAAGATGGTTCAGTTCAACGTCATCGATATAACGTAGGTAATAGCCATATATGTATGTATGTATTTGCAGTTTGGATTAACAAATCACTTTTACAGCAAGACTTCTTAGAACATAAGATAACGTAAGAAGCAAAATGAGTCAACACGCTAGCGGTAGTAATATTGCCAAAGCAGTTCCCGCGGAAAATAGAAAGAGAGAAGCTGATGGTGCGAAAGCCTCTGGCAGTGATGACGCACGCAATGCAAAGCAAGCCAAAATCGGGACGTCTCATACAACTGGTCTCCATTTAAACGAGGATTGCTGGAAAGTCGTAATGGATTATCTGGACGTAAAAGACCAGCTAGAGCTCGCGTCTTCGAACGTGTTTATGGGAGAGATGTTCAAGAGGTACGCAAGCCATCGGTACAAACATATGAATGAATCGCTCACGATAAGGATTGGCGACACACCATATCTGCAGAAACTGTTGCAGATTGTTGGCGAGAATCTGGTAACCTATGAGCAACCATTGACTTTCGATCAAATAATATTCCACCTGGAGGACCATTGTAGGAATGTCAAAAATTTGAAAATGGGCTTTGACCTGAACTCGATAGAATGGCCCCATCTACTCAGCTTCAAAAAGATCAAATCTTTGGACACTGAAATATGGTCAGACCATGCACTACAAGAAGACAGAGATAAGTTGTATACGGAATTTGTAAACATTCTCAAGCATTTGCCGTGCCTAAAGAAACTGAAGTTGAAGGCTGTCGAATATAACGGAGGAGGATTGCATTATCTTGAACAGCTGGAATCTCTGGAGCTGGATGTCCATGAGGATTTCGATGGCAAGAACTTGGAGTATTGCTGCCAAACGATAAAGCAACTACGCCATCTGGACATTGCACATACTAGAAACCTCACTAAGAACAATTTTGAAATTCTGGTGACGAACTGGCAGCAGCTGGAACGTCTGGCCTTTTCTGTACAGTGCTTCGACTCAACGATGCCCTATGAGCTGGTCTGCCAGTTGCCCAGGTTACAACATTTGCAGGTGGTGCATGACGGTTCTGTACGCGACTCGTTAATCGAGGGATTGATCAACAAAAAGGGCTCTCCTCTGGAAAGTCTTATCCTGGGACCAGACAATTTGTCCGTGGATCAGGTTAAACGTCTTTGCAATATTTCTACACTCAAGGAACTCGAAGTAGCCTGCGACACCGTCCCCTTGGCGGACTTACTGAAGCTGAAGAACCTTCTATACCTCCACATATCCATGCCAATTACGAATGACCATGTTCTAGACCTTCTAAAGGGGCTTCCGCTCCTAAAGGTTCTCAATATACAAGTTTACGATATGATAAACAAAGATAACTTAGTGGATAGTGTTCGTACCTGGGTGAGCGAACAGAAGGAGCAGCGTGGGAAGATACAAATCTATTTCGAATTCTATATGCGCGATATTTTGTATGCTAATCATTTGGTTGAAATCAAAATTGATTGCTTAGATCCCATATTAATAAACAAAGAACTTAGTGAACGAGTTTAGAACTACCAAATATACGGGTTTTTTCTTGAATAAATGTAAATCAAATTAATATGGCCTAATAAATGTTTTGACATTTGCCAAAATCATCATTTGCACGCTTGCCTATACGTTTCGATTTTATATTTATTTAAAATTTGAAACCCCGCTCTTCTCGGCCATCACTAGTTTCACCTGCCATATCGATATTTGTGTTCTGTGCAGCCCTGCACCTCACACACACACACAGTCTCACGTATACGTTCAGATTTACAGAGAGAGTTTTGTTTAGTTTTTTTTTTGATTGCAAAAACGAATTAAACGCTAACGCCAGGAAAGAGCGTCCAACAAGTTACTTACGAGTCGATTAGTCGAGGTCGATAAGAACATTGCAAAAGCTCAAACCGAAGCTTATCCGGAGAACAGAACGATTGAACTTCAGAACTCGAATCGAACTTTGTCACCAAGTGGAAGTGGGTCTGGTCTGTCTTCTTTAATACGTTTACGAATGGAATGAAAGACGGAATCAATAACAGAAGACAACCAACAACACAACACAATACAACAGATACTGCCTTAAAAATTACAACACCGAGATTGCACAAATAATTAGGTAATTTGTAAGCGGCGTCGACATTCCTTCGAATTTGAACGGCGGAACGGTAGATGATTAATAATGGGAAATGAACTTGGACCGCATTCTATCTAATCTTTCCATATACATAGTATTCGATGCACTTGAATTATTCATGGTTTTGAAAAACTCCTTCCTTTGTAGCTGCCTCAAAGATGGCCGCCATTGGGGAACGTTTCCAAGCTGCCGTCAATGTAATCAAGGGACTGCCCAAGAATGGTCCCTACCAGCCAAGCACCAGCATGATGCTAAAGTTCTACGGCCTCTTCAAGCAGGCCACGGAGGGAGCCTGTGACCACAAGAAGCCTGGCTTCTGGGACGTGGTTGGCAAGGCCAAGTGGGACGCCTGGAACGACAATCGACACCTGAGCAAGGAGCAGGCAATGCAGCGCTATGTTGAGAGTCTGCAGGAGATTATCGAGACGATGTCCTTCACAGAGAACGTGCAAAACTTTGTGGGCAGCCTTGATGGCCTGGGGAACATAAATTTGGACGAACTGGAATTGGTTTCACCCGGCATGAGGGAGCTCGCCGAATCGCATCCCAACTCTCCGTTCCATTCGCGCACAAACAGTCCACAGCATGGAAGCAGCTGCAACGGGGAATCTGAGCTGGGGACCCCCTTAGCCTCATCGGAGCCCGCAACGGAGAACGGCGACAATATGGTAACCAATGGACATATTGCGCCATCTCTGAGCAATGGCTACACGACCAAATCGGCGAACTACAGCCACAGCGATAGCCACAACTATACCAACAACAGCAGCGTTGCCATTGTGGAGCCCTCGGACGATGAATACGACGACCCATATGATCTAAGTCACGAGGTTACCCAGGCTATTGCCCAGAATACGGATCTGCTGCGACAAATTCAAATCACAATCACGCGAATGAACAACGACGTGGGCGCAGTGCAGCAGCGTGTGCGCAGCCTTGAACAGACATTGAACGAACTTCGCAATGGCCAAAAGTCGAGAGCATCGCAACGGCAACAGCCCGCCTGGTGGCCCTTCAAGAATATATCTCCACTTTGGTTTGCTGTACTCATTCTGTGGCCCTTTCTCGTGCGCCGATTTGGACGGCTGCTGCAGACATCATCAGGCCGCAGACGCTGACACAGAAGGGTGTTTAGATTAGAGAGTATGGCATGTGGTAGTTAAATTGTAAGTACGAAGTAATTTCATGGCGATTAAGTCAGTCTGCTTTTAGGAAATTTAAGCTCAAAACCTTAAAATTTGGTATACAAAATGCATACAAAATTTCCGTTTATACTTGAGATTCTCCGAGACGACCCATTTGGAGGGCTACTTGAAACCTGTTTGGTGGCGAAAGCTTTTACCATTTGCATTATAAAATGTACATATTTGCATTTCATTAACATATTCAAGGAAGGGAACGCTTACTAACACAGTTCGCTGAGCATCTTTATAAACAACCACACACAAATATCACTGAAGGGAAAGTCTCCTTAATATACTCTTTTTTTGTGGTGTTTCCTGATCCCAAGATATCTCAATTTGCAATCGTAAGATTCCCTGTTTCTTTGATCTTTGATTGTCTATTAATCTGGTTTTAGTTAATTTTTTTTTCTATAATTCTAGTTAGGACATAGCCTTATCCTTATGATCTCGATGTTATAATAATCAGAATTTCTATTGTCTCTTTTTCAGTTATTTTTGGTTACGGGCACAAGCTTGGTCTTTGGCTTTCTTCTATCCTCGAAAGAGCTTCATCTATTGTACAGAGTTGGCCTTATTTCTAATTTCCTAACCACTGTGGTTATCCAGTTGCAATATCTACTCCTTTTTTTATATGTATGTGTATTTTATTGAATTTGATGTATGTATATTTATTTTCTACCTTTATTGGAACACATTCCCATCTAATTTAGTTTCTAAGACCAAACGAGAATGTCTTGTGCACTTTCGGCAGGTGTCGGCAGGCGATGCTTTTGCAAACACTTAAAGCAAAAGCCCGGCAAAAAACCTGGCGTAAAAGGCTGTAAGCGAACAAATTATTGTGCATTATTTTTATTGTTATTAATTATAATTTTTGTAATAAAGTCATGTTTTAAAACAGTGTGTGCTTTTGGCATGGAATGTTCGCTCTTAGGGCTGTGGAGTGGTGCGAAGATAACTCTTGCCGGATGGCACCTCAATGGTCTCAATGCCCTTGGGGAAGAGTTTCGGAACATCTTCTCCCTTAACAGTGGGCAGCACCATGCATTTACCTCCCTGCTGCCAGTCGGCTGGAGTTGCCACGCTCTTGGTCTGGGTCAACTGCAGCGAATCGATGACGCGTAGGATTTCACTAAAGTGCGAAAAATATGAAATTAGCACAAATCTGGGATGTTTCTTCTGTGCTGGAACTTACTCGAAATTGCGTCCGGTGGTGGCGGGATACAAAATGGAAAGACGCAATTTCTTCTTTTCGTCAACGATGAACACGGCTCGACAGGTCAGAGGAAGCCCATCCGCATTCAGCTCATCCTTGTCCAGCATTGACAGCTGATGGGCCAGCAGGCGCTTGTCATCAGCAATGATTGGATAGTCAAAAGAGGGCAATTCTGAAAAATAATCCTAATTATGACACTGGCTCCGAAGAAGCAAAACTCTGCACTTACTGCCAAAACTCTTGATGTCTTCAATCCAGCCCTTGTGCGACTCCACAGTGTCACAGGACAGCGCAATAGGCTTCACACCACGTTTCAGGAACTCTGGAATCAGTGCAGCCACTCGGGCCAGCTCTGTAGTGCACACCGGCGTAAAGTCGGCTGGGTGCGAGAAGAGAATGGCCCATTCTCGTTTCATCCAATCGTAAAAGTCTATTCTTCCCACACTTGTCTCGGCCTGGAAGTTGGGAAACTGATCCCCGATATTCAGAGGGCTGCAGGACATTCTCACTGATTTGATCTGACAAATATTTCAGCGGAATAATGTAAAGCCACTCAGATCCAAATCAGATCTAGCAAACAAATGTCATATTTTTCTAGCGGCCAGTGGTGTGACCAGAGGTTTGCACTGCATTCCGTACGTTTACACTGCTCAGACAGCTGCTTAGTTTTGTTTAAAGTTAATAAAATTCACTTCCCCAGGCATATCCTGGGCTCCCCAATATCAGCAGCAGTACGCCTCCCGTGCCGACCACAATGAAGACAAAATTTTTTTAAAACAATATTTTTTTTATATTTATGAAAATTAATAAAAAATAATATATGATAATATCCATATAATTGTCCTTCAATTATGCTTAAGGAAATAAGGTATAAATTATTTCCTTTAATTGATGCTAAATTTGTTGTTCCAAGCTCCATTGAAACATTAATAGTGATTTTCTCCTAGATGGACATGTTTTTTACCTATTAATGCAAATGTTTTGTGCTTTATAAATACATGTATCCCGGTTCTGATACCTATTATTGGTACCCGTGAGCTGCAAAATTGCGTTAATATCTTTAAAACAGAGACTGAGAGTTTCTGCATTAATTAGAGCCTGAAATTACAAACAATATCTCAAGTCCATAATATCCATTTTCCCAAGGTATTCAGATTTGTTGCTCATTCCGTGCCAAAGTTGCAGAACAATGCTACCTATTCACTTCCCATGTTGATGCAATTTTTCCCATACAAATCCAATGTTCCTAACGGGTACGCGTATGGAACGTCTCAACAATGAAACTACAAAACGTTCACGATCCCGTTAAATACATGTGGCTCACACCACGAAAAAGGAGGAAAGTCACCAAAAAAGCGCTCTCTTCACCACGAAAAAGAGAGCAAATTTTTAAAAACGGTTTGCTCACTCACGAATAAAGTGACCAAGTCGAAAAATACCAATATATACCAGGAAGTTGTTCAAAATAAAATACTGACTGTTATCGATGGTGTGCGTGGGCGTTTTCCAGCACTGTGCGGGCCGAACAGCTGAAAGTGGCAACGCTGTCACACACGTACAAAATAATTAAATAAATTACGAAAATATTTGAATCAATTGTTAGAGCTACGTTTAAGATGGAAGATCTAAGTATAAGTGGCCACCAAGTGCAGGTGCAGCCTGGCGCTCCAGCGGAACCGTTTCGAATCACCACCAATGCTCCGCATCAAATGAACGATCCCAATATGACACCGGGACGCCAAAAGCTGCAGAAATGGTTGGGACGTGTCCTGCGCATCGTTATAACCGATGGACGTGTCCTGGTTGGCTTCTTCAATTGCACGGATCGGGATGCCAACATTGTGCTCTCCATGTGCGCCGAGTATCTAGTGGAGGGACAGGAACCGCGTCTGCTGGGCAACGTTATGGTGCCGGGCAAGCATATTGTATCCCTTAGCATCGATGAGGAGCCAGCAACGAATGTGGAGGTGGCATAGTCCTTACTCTTGTACCGTACCTCACCTAATGTTAATAAAATTAATTAAACTAAAGAATTTACTTATATATATGTAGACACTGTGTGATGATTATTTAAAAGTTCCTACATACACACATACATACGGGCGGATTCGATCAGCTGTTTGACCGCGTTGCCAACCATCTCGCAGGTCAATCAGCTGAGCGTCTGCTTGATACTTTTGTTATTCAGACCAGAACAGAACTATTCTATTCCTGCCCTGCCGAAGAGAGCGCAGCCACAGCCAATTAATTGAATCAAGCGAAACGCGGAATAGAAAACTCATCTCATTCAATTGAGAGCAATCAGCGATGGATTTCACGACCTTCGTAAAGCCCACCAACGGGGGATCAGGCGATGCCGATGCGGGCACACACGAGCTGCAGTTCTGGAAGCATGTGAAGTACATCGAGAATCATGGGAAGCAGGAGGACGACTATGAGTACTGCATGACCGAGTTTCTGCGCATGTCGGGCATCTACTGGGGCGTCACGGCCCTGGACATAATGGGGCAGCTGGATCGTCTGGAAAGGAAGCATATTATCGAGTTTGTCAAGCGGTGCCAGTGTTCCACGACGGGGGGTTTTGCACCCTGCGAGGGCCACGATCCCCACATGCTGTACACTCTGTCCGCGGTGCAAATACTCTGCACCTACGACGCCCTGAATGAGATCGATTGCGAGGCCGTGGTGCGATTCATTGTGGGACTGCAGCAGCCGGACGGCAGCTTCTTTGGCGACAAGTGGGGCGAGGTGGACACCAGGTTCAGTTTCTGTGCAGTGGCCACTCTGTCGCTGCTCAAGCGCATGGAGCAGACCATTGACGTCGAGAAGGCGGTCAAGTTTGTCATGTCGTGTTGCAATCAGACGGATGGAGGGTTCGGCTCCAAGCCTGGCGCGGAATCCCATGCGGGTGAGTCATGATGGCAAATCACATTTGTAGCGTTCTCATTGGGCTCTCTTGCAGGTCTCATATATTGTTGCGTGGGTTTCCTTTCACTCACCCACCGATTGCACTTGCTGGACGTGGACAAGCTGGGTTGGTGGCTTTGTGAGCGCCAGCTGGTCTCAGGCGGACTTAATGGACGGCCCGAGAAGCTGCCAGATGTGTGCTACTCCTGGTGGGTTCTCTCCTCACTCACTATTATGGGCCGCCTACACTGGATCAGCTCCGAGAAACTTCAGCAATTTATTCTGTCCTGCCAGGACGCAGAGACAGGCGGCTTCTCCGATCGTACGGGCAACATGCCCGACATATTCCACACTCTTTTCGGCATTGGTGGTCTCTCACTGCTGGGACATTCCGGCCTGAAGGCCATCAATCCAACTCTCTGCATGCCCCAGTACATCGTCGACAGGCTGGCCATTGAGCCCCAGCGATTGTCGCGACCATGAAGCGATCCCACCGGAGCGGAGCCACCTTAACTGTCGTAGTCAATTGTTTGAACTCTGTTAGTGCATTTCAAATCGGAGTGCTCACGTACACGTTTATTCCAACACAGTTCCCAAAGTTTTATTTTCGAAAAACAGACCAAATTTCCGCCATGGAATCGCTTTAACGCTATTTGCTCTTCTACTTTATATGCATTTACAAGCACAGACAGACAGTAGGTACGTATATGTATCCCCTCGATAGGATAGGCTATAAATTATGTATTTTCTATGATTCATTTGAAGCAAAGTTAAATAAAGACATTACTCTATTACAACAGGCCAGATAATTGTAGTATTTTCTTTATTCTGTTTGGGAAATTTATCGTTCGCGTACCTTAGTCGTTCACTCTTGTTCTTAGTGAAGTCTTGAGAAAATCGGAGGGAGCCGGTATGTCGGTTGCGTATATGTCCCGCTGCAAATACGAATTTGCATTTCGCAACCATCGTATCAGCTCTCCAATGGCAACGTTAACACCTTGGCCGGCAAATGCGCATCAGGCGGACCAAACGAAAGACAATATGGACTAAGAATCACAATCTTCCATCTTTCGGTGGGACTGAAGTTGCCAGCGAACTACTTATTCGATTAAAGGTCCGCCTTGGAGGTCGGACATTCCATGTGCAATTCCTGAATCGCTTTGGATAATTTGCTCGATTTCCAGGAGTAACCTGACTAACGGCTTTCCTTTCAACAGCTTCGATGAAGTTTCTGGATGACTGGAGACTTAGCTCGGTTTCATTGGTGATGGAATGCTACAGTACTGAAGATCAAGTAACACACATAAATGTTACGGAAATAAACGCCTATAATTTCACTATCAATTTTTATACCCAAAAACTATATTGAAAATATTATAATTGCATAAAATAATTTCATTTAAAAAGTCTGCAAAGTTTGATTTTGTAGAAACTGAGGGATATTGATAAACAATAAAACATACGTAGGTGTGTACATACATATGTACATATTTAGCAACATTATTTTGTTTATTATTACCGACAAAAAAAATCTGTAGATTTGCTAGTTCTAAACACGTTCACCAAGTTTATAAATATTGGATATAACAATGTCTTTTTGATTTGAACCAAAGGACTAGCATACAAAATATTGTGTACTCCAGGTTGGCATTCGACATAGATTTTTATCTTCCCACGCTGCTCCTTCTGTTCGCTCACTCCCGGTACGAACACTTTTCACCAACTTTACTGTGTCGCAGGCTACTTCGAGTTCCTTGAGTGTAGAAATAGAGACTTTCCATAGGGGAGCCTTTTTTTTGTATCAACCCCACGATTAACGAGTCGCGCAAATAACCGCCATGAATCACCGCCATGAATCGTTAGGCATAAATACTCCAAATTCTTGGTATCAAATCTGGCAGAGACATCCAGCTCCAGAGATTCCAGTTGATCAAGAACATGCAATGCTCTTCCTCTACATGTAGTAGCAAACAACTTCAGCTTCCTTATAGACGGGAACTTGCTTGAGATTGCAAACAAAATCCGTAAACATCTTATCGTTTTCTCTATCCAATTCCATACCCATATCCGTATCCATATCGTCTTCTTCATCGGCAGAGATCAAATTAGCCTCCAAAGATTTTAGCTTTCTTAAGCTGTTTTAAATCATCCAATCCGTCCCTGTCCGGAAACAAATTCATTTCTAAATGTTGGAGATTCGAGCAGTAGCTCCCAAGAGCCACAGGTGCTGATTTCCTTTCGAACTGTTCAAATCAGACTTATAACTAACCATATGGTCGCCAACGATCTGAAACAGTTGTTCTATATCTGATGAGCTACTGAGCTTCTTCAGTAGCGTTGTTTTGCGATATGTTTATTTACGAGACGATGGTTGTTAAGATTAAATGTGGTTTATTGTTGTTAACAGTATAAAAGAGTCCGATACAGAGTCGAAGGGATAGCGAAAGGTTCGAGTAAGGTTGATGACGTGAGCACGGCGAGTCGGTTGGAGAGTTAGCTGGATTCAAGACTGGGTCAGATTGTAGACGCGGGGGTCGGTACAAGACGGTATCGGATTGAATAGCTCGATTCCAAGACGATGTGCAAGAAGTGATTGCAAAATCAAGACTGACTTCAAGGGCAGGAGGACAGAATTACCCGTGCCCTAATACGAGCGAAAGATAGAGAGAGCGATGGCAAAGCAAAGGAAAGAAAGATGAAGAGGCGAAAGCATAGGCTGCTGCCGTGCGGGAGCAGGAATAAGTATGTATGTACATATGTATGACAAAGTTGAGCAGTGACGAACAATAATAGATATTTACTCTACTGCTGCACCACTGACTATGATCTACGGATTATTTGGTTGCGTAACCAAAAAATATCTTAGTCGCCAAAACGCATGAACCATGCTTCAATATTTTTGTACCGATGGCTTGCGTACCTTTTGTAAATCTCTCCAATCCACAGGTTCGAAGAAGCGAGACTTAGCTGGTCTTTTATTTCCAGATAATCCATTACGACTTTCCAGCAATCCCCGCTTATATCAAAAATAGTTGCACGGGATGTTTCCACTTTGCCTTCCTTTTCAATGCGTGCGTTATCAGTTTGAGAGGCTTTCTGCCCATCAGCTTTTCTCTTTCTATTTTTCGCGGGGGCAGCTTCTGCCACATTACCACCGCAATGTTCACTCATGTCGCTTCTTGCAACAACCTTTACGTATGTTACGTATGGTACATATACATGGATGAACAGTCAAAGTACCTCAATTTAGGTTTTAGAAATGCTTTGGTTTGATCACTCAATATCTTCTCTTGGGACTGGCCTGTCAGGAATCTATACGTCTGGATGGAAAGAGATTTGTTGGTTATAAATGTATACATGTGTAAAGGTTATTAATACTTCAATTCCGAAGGAAATCCTAAGATTTGGGGTTTAGTTTTCGCTTTGCGCATACCAATACAATACCAATAGAAGCTTGTGTTGAGTGTGTTTTATTCGATCAAGCTCTGTCGTGGAGTTTCAGATTGTTTTGCTGGTACCTATTATTTTCCAAATAGTTCCGTAGCTCGGGGGCTAAGTTGAAGCTGCTATTTCAGGTCTTATTTCGTAGACAAAACAAATGCTTAATTCAACTATCTGTTGAATTCAAAGGCGATTCACCTATCTGTTGCTCTCTCGATAGTTTGTAGAGGAAAACATCGATAGTATATCGATAGTGACAGTATGGGTATTCTTAGTATTTTTAATAAAATCAAGAAACCAACAAGATAATACAAACAGTCTATTTAATTCAAATGCCCCCTGCCATCCCCTAGGTACGCCCTTGTATTTATCAATAAATAAGGAAATAAAAAACACAAAGTCTGATTTCGGGTCTAAATTTGTATTTAAAAACCCGAGAAAACAAACTATCAACAAAAAATATATATCGATATATTGATATATCATATACCTACCATCCCTAGTAGACTTGTGGCAAATAAATGTAAATAAATATTTTGGACGCCCGCCATTCCGCGTGTCACAGGCGGTTGTCGGTCAAACAGGTCCCATCCAAGCCGCGTTAAACAGATAACATACATATACATGTACATGCATTAGTGCGTACTACTCGCGGTTGCAAACAAAAGTTTTAAGTAATGTGTTA